CACAGCTCACTGGGCAGCCAGAGGACCGTAGGAGGAAAGTGCTCCGTCTCTCCCCGGTAATGGCTGAGCACGGTAATGGAAGGGGCCTTGAGGGCGGATCAGCAGGAGCTATTGAAGCAGTAAGTATCTTGGGAAAAGTGTCCTTTTGTGAATGTCATGGCTCTCTTGCTAACAGGTAGCATTTATAGCCCCAAACCAGTACTATCAGAACTCCAGTCTTCAGCACCTTCTATCTGTGTAGCCACCGTTAGTGCTTTTCCAGTAGTTCCAAGTATTTGGTAGTTATTGCTTCATGATATCTTTTTTTTTTTTAAATACATTTTATTGATTTTTTACAGACAGGAAAAGAGAGGGATAGAGAGTTAGAAACATCGATGAGAGAGAATCATCGATCAGCTGCCTCCTGCACACCCCCTACTGGGGACGTGCCCGCAACCAAGCCACATGCCCTTGACCAGAATCGAACCTGGAACCCTCAGTCCGCAGGTTTTGGCTGTTTCATGATATCTTAAAAACTTCAGAAATACTGTTACAGGGAGGGAAAAGGAGTTTCAAGAGATCTAAGGGTTCTGGTGAGCCCGTGGGGCCAGTCACTGGCTGCTGAGGTTCATGGGATTTCCTAGGTGTCCAGGAACTGTGGAATCTTGGGAGCCTCCTGCTGTGAGGGCTGAAGTCTGTGCCCTTCTCTTCAGCCAACCATGCACGCACTCATTCATTCATTCATTCAGTAATCATGAACCAGGGGCTTTTTGAGGGGATAGGGGAAGACGAGGGTCCTAATATAAGATGACTGGAGATTTGACTTTGGGTGGTGGGCACAGGGTGCAATGTATAGATCTTGTACCATAGAAACCCACACATGAAACCTGCATGTTCATGTTGACCAATGTCAGCCCAATCAATTTAATAAATTACATTTTTAAAAGGCCTTTTGTGTGCCAGGTACAATACGAAGCACTTGGGAAAGAAGGAAGTTTTAAAGGAAAATAATAGGATAGTTATCACTTTAAAGGGGACAGGAAGCCAGGCTGGAGACATGTGCCCACAGGAAGAGCAGTCACAGCCTTTACAAAGGAGTAGCCCTGGACAGAGCAAGGAGAGGTTCTCTTGAGTTCCCTGGCAGAGAGCAAACAATCACGTGACTTAACTAAACTCACACATGTCACTGAAGCTGCCTGGAACCCAGCTCTGAGCGCCTTCTGACACCCTCAGCCTAGTCTAGGGAACTCAAGCTTGGGAAGGAAACATACCCGGAATTAAACCCTGGGTTTATCTTTAATTAACTTAGAACTAAACCCAAGTTTTCTCATGTGAAAAAAAAAATGGATAAAAAGCACTCATGGGAAAATGAGATTATTAAGATTAAAATATGTGCCCTGGTTTCCATTTCCAACAAAATGGAGTATCAGGGACCAGATTTTCTCTTCTCACTCGAAACAACTGAAATCCAAAACGAAGTAGATGAAACTATGGTTTCCAAGACATTGGATGGCGGGCAATAAAGGACAAAGAGCCCTGAGAGATGAGGCCAATGGGGAGAGCCTTGACTGCCCAGCTCACCGCCCTAAGGGAGCTTGCTGGTCAACAAGGAGCTGAACACACACAGGTAGGAGTCCAGAGAGATCAAGGCACCTGGGTTTGCAGGCCGAGATCCCCTCCAGTACTCCAGGGAGGACTGTAAGGATTAGGGGAAGTTACCCTTCCCCTAAGGGCTCCCACAGTCAGGACAGTTCTTTCATCCCCAGAGGACAACCCTGGGGCTCCTGGGCACTGGGTGGAGCACTCAGAATTCTTCCTGGGCAGCGGGGCAAAATTAACCTTCCACTGAGCACCGCACAGTATTTCTGACTGAACTAAAGATACCTGGAGGGGCATGTGGTCCAGAGGCCATCGCATCTCTGGTTCTGTGGGCTGAGCAGCACAGACAAAACCCTTTAAGGCCGTGTGTGCCTGTCCTGGGGCTACTGAAAAAAGATCACCGCAAATGAGGTGGCTTAAAGCAACAGAAAATGCTTCTCCCCCAGTGATGGAGGCCAGGAATCCTCAAAGCCCTGTCTTTGGATTTAGGGCTGCCTTAATCCGGGATGATCTTATCTTGGGCTCCTTAACTTAATTACACCTGCAAAGATCCCTTCCCCCCCACCCCGCCCCCCCCCCCCAAGAAAAGTCACATTTACAGATTCCAGGGGTTAGGATGTAGCTATTTCTTTGGGGTGGAGGTGTTACTTTTCAACCCAACTACAGGCAGGCTTGCATTATTAATATGTATATGTGTATGTGTGTGTATCCATTAATTTGATCAAAAATCATTTTTTGGGGGGGGAAAGGAACATTTGTAATAATATGAACAATAAAAATTTATTTTAAAAAAAATCATTTTGCCAAGCTTTCCTGTGTTGACTGTTTACTATGATAGAAACGACTTAGATTTTTACAGAAAGCTGGACCGGCCACAACAGGCCCAGAGGCATGTACGTTACATTTTTATTTCTTATATGCTTTCTAGATCTAAGCTCCTTCAAACCCCATGAGCATTATCTCATTGCTTTATTTCCTGCCATTGTTTCTAAAGTGAGGGACGTGAAACAAAAGGGTCTGGCCTCCACACTGTGCTCCACCATCAGGGACCTCCTTCCCTAGAGAAAATCGTTCTCTCCACACCCATGGGAAGGATAAAAGGTGGTAGGGAATGAGAGGACTGGGTAGAGTATTGGGTGAAGAGAGAGAAAAATGCGCAAAGAGGGAGAAAAAGCAGAAAATGCAGTTCAGGTGAAACAGCTTCTTGAACGAAGTCCCTTTCCCATCAGGAATCTTCCAGATTCCGCAGAACTTAAACGTGGTTTCTAGTGCCACCTACTGGGAAGCATGGGAACCAGCTCAGACCTGAGGTAGAAAAACAACCTGCATCCAGGCCTCCAATCACACTGTAAGGGGGCAGGTTTTACTGAGACTGGCCACCTTCCTGTCTGTTCTGAGGAGCTGAGCTGACCCCGGTTCCTCACACTCTCGACACATATGGTTCCAGAACTCCATGTGCTGCAATTCGCCACCCGAGCTCAGCCCTAACATCAGGGTCCTGGCCCTTTCCTCTTTCTATTCTCAGCATGAGCATGGAATCTGGCACAGAGCAGTCTCTCAAAATAAATAAATAAATAAATAAATTGTATTGAATAATTTAAAAAAAAAAAAAACAATGTAAGCATTCTATTTCTTGCCAAAACCGGTTTGGCTCAGGGTAGAGCGTCGGTAGGTCCAGGGTTTGATTCCGGTTAAGGGCATGTACATTGGTTGCGGGCACATCCCCAGTAGGGGGTGTGCAAGAGGCAGCTGGTCGATGTTTCTCTCTCATTGACGTTTCTAGCTCTCTATTTCTCTCCCTTCCTCTCTGTAAAAAAATCAATAAAATATATTTTAAAATAATAAAAAAATAAAAAGAATTCTACTTCTTATCAGCAGTTACCTGTTAGCAAATTTATAGAACCCAAATGGCAAGGCGGAAACTGGATGTTCTAGCCCCGTGGTCAGCAAACTGCGGCTCTTGAGCCATATGCGGCTCTTTGGCCCCTAGAGTGTGGCTCTTCCACAAAATACCACGGCCTGGGCGAGTCTATTTTGAAGAAGTGGCGTTAGAAGAAGTTTAAGTTTAAAAAAAGTTGGCTCTCAAAAGAAATTTCAATCGTTGTGCTGTTGATGTTTGGCTCTGTTGACTAATGAGTTTGCCGACCACTGGCCTCGGGTTTACTGGGCTACAGTCCTCAGAGGTACACCGAGGCCGTTTCAGTGGGAGCGGCGCTGTGTGCTCCACAGAGGAAGTCAGCAGTGCAGCAAGCTGACCCCTCGCATACCATCCTCTACCCAAAGGGCAAGGAGCTGGGATGCCTGAGTGGATAGGTGTGTGAATAAAGCATGCACATTGGCTTCTGACCCCAGTTCCTGACTCAGAGCTCCTAAATTTCTCTGATTTCTTGTGTGGGAATAGCAACCTTTGCTCTAATGAGGTCCTGGGTGGGGTCCTGGATGGGAGCGAGTAACCAGAAAGGCCAAGCCGTGGTTACACACTGGGAGCCTTCAGCCCCACGCGCCACCCACTGGGAAAGGGAAGGGCTGGAAATTGAGTTATTAATCCATCATGCCTACACTAGGAAGCCTCCATAAGAATCTCAAGAGCGCAGGGTTCTGAGAGCTTTCGGGTGGGCGAACACAAGGTGCTGGGAGGGTGGCGTGCCCACAGAGGGCAGGAAGCTCCCGCCCCGTATGCACACCCAGCCCTGAGCATCTCTGTCATCTGGCTGTTCCCGAATTGTGTCCTTTTATAATAAACTGGTGATCAGGGCAAACAGTTCTTTTCCTGAGTTCTGTGAGCTGCTCTAGCAAATTATCAAACCTGAGAAGGGCACCTACGGGGAACCCGCTCTGTTCACAGTGTGCTGGCACGGAGTTGAGATCGTTCCTGCCGAACCGACAGAAGGCCAGAGCAAAGGCAAGCCAGCAATCATAGCGGACTGTGCACTCTGTGCTCCACCATCGGGGACCTCCTTCCCAGAGAAAATCGTTCTCTCCACACCCACGGGAAGGACAAAAGAGTGGTAGGGAATGAGAGGGCTGGATAGAGTACTGGGTGAGGAGAGGGGAAAATAGGCAAAGAGAAAGAAGCGGGAAATACAGTTGAGGTGAAACAGCTTCTTGAAAGAAGACTCTTTCCCTAAGGAGCTTGGTGCTCACTCATGAAGGCATCAGCGACTGGTGGGGGCTCCAACACGGAATTCTACCCACGGGCACAGTGTAGGAAGCAAAGGCAACCAACCCAGTGGTACTGAGGAGGACAGCACAGGAAGAACGTTTTTATTTTCCCAGCTCTCCAGGCAACTTCACCAGGCTGAAGGTCCCATGCAGCTGAGTATGAAACCAAGAGTAAAGTATGGTGGGTTCTACTTCGTCAATCTTTGGCAGGCCAGGAGTTCAAGGTCAGGCGGGCAGGAGGCTGAGAGGCCAACGATCGATCACACAATCTTCACAGTCTTAAGCATATCAGACAGGACGTAGGTGTTATCCCAACCCCTCCCTGGCTTCCGCAGGGTCCGCTCCAAGGCCTGGGCCATGTCCAAGAGCTCTGGTGTGGCAAGTTTCCGCTCGGGGTGCAGCTGACAGAACAGAATCTCATTCACCTCCCCCTCGATGCGCCGGACATACAGGAGGGGGAACACCGCCTTGAGCCCACCCAGCACTGAGTCCTTTAGCCCCAAGTCTCGGCACACAAGGTTGAGGATAAAGACACCTGTAGGGTGGGAAGGAAAGAGTCAGAATGACCGCACATCTGGTGACACGTGGAGACAAGGTACAGCTCTGAAAATAACAATTTCTGCCCCGGGTGGCTGGGGGGGGCGGCTAAGACAGCACCAACAGCAACAGCCAGCTTGCAGAGAACATACACACACAAAAAGCAGAATGAGAAAAGCATGGGAAATATATGCAAACCAGAGGAAACATCAGCCCACTTCTTGCTCTCCTATGCTGCTAACCAATGATTTCCACCATTCTCCATTTCCCAAAGAATCGCTTTGAGAAAAAAGTAACTAATACCCCCAAGAAAGAATGTACCAACTCCGTATGGGATGTTATGTTCTTGACAAACACCATAACTAGCCAGGGATGGCCTAGGTCACCTTGCAACAGTTAAGGTTCTAAGTCAACTCTGTTCACCACAGCACCATACACCAAATCAAAATGTGGGGGCCACAGATACATGACTCAGAGCCCCAGCTTTCGCAAGGACCTGGGCTGGAGTCCCAGCTGTTACCCTGGCCGCCTTGGCAGGTCTCTTTACCTCGGTTTCCTCGTCTGAAATGGGCTGCTATGAAGATGAGATAAGATACTGTCTAGTCAGGGGCAGGTGGGAGGAATGTGACTGGGAGCTGGCGTTGCCGTCGTGGTGGGAGTGTGAATGACTGCAACCACTTTGTAAAGCCGGCGGCGGCATCTGCGAAAGCTGAGCATACGCTTCACCTACCGTCCAGCGATTACAGCCCTACGTACATGCCCAACAGACCCGCCAGCGTTTCACCAAAAGGTATCGTCCGAATGTTAATGGCGGCACTACTTAGAAAAGCACACAACAGCAAAACAGCCCACTGCCAAGAGCAGAGGGGGAGACTGAGCGCTACAGCCACACGATGACACTACACAGCAATGAAAGGATCAATGGAAACGCAATATTATGGATGAATCTCACAAGCATCGCGTTGAGTGAAACAGAAACTTAAAGACTATAATCTGTATGATTACTGCATTTGTATAGGACATAAATAGGAAGACTAAGACGTGCTGGTAGAAGTTGGGAGAGTGGTTATCCCAAACAGGAGGTGAGAGGTGGACTCCTGGGGCGCTGGAAATGCTGTGTGTTCAGTGCTGGTAATGGGGGGTGTTCAAAGGAAGGAAATAAATCCAGTTACACATTTATGATATGTGCATTCTTTGTTATAAAAAAAAAATTTTTTTTTGAAGGACCCATCCATCCCCGCTTCCCGGCTTTTCATCATTCTCATACCTTCAGGACTCAAGATGCTCTTGACCTTCTGCAGGAAGGGCTGGTCCACAAAGGCTGGGGGTGGACAACTCATTCCCAGTGTTGGGTCCTTACTGTCCACATCAAACATTATCACGTCGTACTGAGGCCGTGCTGGGAAAGAGAAGCAAAAGAGCTTTTGTCTTTGCTGGGTAAAATATGGCCACTTACATTCCTGCACTGCATCTCTCCTGTGACCTGTGGTGGGCACAGGTGGCTGAGCCAGGAGGACGACAGGGAGGATGTGCATGTTAAGGCCACTGACATCACCGTCCAGAGGAATCGTCACCAAGGTTCTGCCCCTTAAAGACAGGGCCTGATCTCATCTTCGGGAGTCCATTCTGCAGGGTACTTACTTGGCTAAGAGTCTGTCCCAGTGGCTGTCAACCCTGACAGAACATTCGAGTCACCGTGAGAGGCTTCTAAATACCTACAGAACCTTGGCTCCTTTTTGACCAGCTGAGTTAAAAACCTCCTGGAAGGCCTGGCATTTCTCTTCAGCTCCCCAGGTTATTATCAATGCAGTCAGAGCTGAGAATCATTGATCTGGACAAGCAGGTATCTAAGCCTACCACATGCCTGGTACTGTTTTACATGCTTCACATATATTAGCTATCTTGGGCCTGAGCCCCCAGAATGACTCTAGTCTCAGAGAGGGAACCTGTAAAACGCTTAATGTGGTCAGTTTGCAGTTAAAATAAGGCAGCATCTGTCCATCTCAGCACCAATATACTCATCCCAGTACCAAAATGTCATTCTGGTTTGCCACACCCTTACTTGGTCCAATGGGAACCAAGCATCAGTTACGGAACGAGCAGACCAGGAAAGGTGGGCCTGGGCCCCCCAGGTTCACTTAGGACTGAGCCAACCTGACTTTTCCCCAACGGACTCCGGAAAGCACAAGGCACCAGGAGCCTATCTATAAACTTGCACAAGGACCAAGGGACCTCCTGCAGAACATGAATAGGAATTTTGTCCTAAGTCTGGGATATGAAAAATTAGAATAAACGCCACCTTAGATCCAGCAGCTGGAGGGCTGTCAGGATTCCCACTGAGCAGCATCTGCCTCAGGGCTTTTCAGCCTCGGCACTGCAGCCATTAGGGTCAGACGATGCACTGTCGTCAGTGGTTGTCCTTTGCATCGTAGGAAGTTTAGCAGATTCCTTGGTCTCTCCCACCAGGTGCCAGAGGCATCCCTACCCAATGGTTATGACAACCAACAACATGTGCAGATATTGCCAAACCAGTTGGCATGAATGCTGTTTTGTTCTATTTCTGGCTTCACTTCCAGCTGATTTTAGAAAAAAATACCTCCCAACACACCCCTCAACTTTTCTTCATCTTTCTTCTCCCAGCTACATACTGGAGGTTTCTTAAGGTGGTGAGGAGGTGCTAATGTTGCAGGGTCAAAAGAAAAGCCCACTGTCCGATAGCGCCATGAGGTCAGGAGACAGTCCGTAGTACTTGCTACACCCTAGCCCCTCGCACCGAGCTAACATATGGTTGGCACTCTGTAGTTACTGACAAAATTTCAACAAATCAACAGGAAAAAGACTAGGATGTTGCTAATGCCACCCTCTCAGAGATGGATTCTAGAGGCCCTTACAGGCCTGACAACCTTGGATCAACCTTCCCTTGACACCCCCCACATTCTCCAGCAGCAGTACCTTCTCTTCCCGCGAGGCTGGTGATATAGTCCAGGCCATCTGCAATGTGGACCTTCATCCGGTCGCTCTGGGAGAAGCCAAACCACTGGGTAGCCACTTCCAACATGGACGGGTCGATCTCCACGGCCTCGATGCGGGACCTTGGGAAATGATCGTGGACGAAGAGGGGCAGGCTGCCCCCGCCCAGGCCTACCACCAGCAATGCCAGCGGGGTCCCTGGAATCAGGAAGAAAGCACTGCTTCACCATCTGCTCACAGGAAAGTGTGACACCAGCCTCAGGAGGGCAAAAGAGGGAGTCAAACTGTTGGCTCTGCCCAGGGGATACCAGATTTAGGGGCTTGGTCTCCCTGTCTCATCCCAAAATTTAGGAGTTAATTTGACATCTGAAAGACTCAACCCTGGCCTCACAATCCTTCCCTTACCAGATCCAGAAGGTAACTAGTGTTGTTGTAGCCCCTTAAAAATCCCAAAGCATTCGTCACCAAGAGTCCCCACCGTAAGCCTTTTTTAGACCCCTCTACAAAATAGGGGTCTACAATGGCTGACACTTGGTTCATGATCACAAGGCAGTGGATTCCACATAGATCAACGCCACAACGGGCCAAAGGACACACGCAGGGATGGTGGGTGAAGACGGCTCTCATGCAAACAGAAATATGACCACTTTCACTACTGTGGTCAGATCCAAACCTGTCATTAGTGAGAAGGCTATGACTGCACTGCCTGTTATCGGTTTTTAAGTAGGAATTCAAGCTACAATCATATAATGCATTACTGAAAAGCCAGAAATTCCCCTTTAAGTGCAAAGGCATTTCTCTGGAGAAATGGTTTTTGTTTTTATTTATTTATTTTTTTTAATATATTTTATTGATTTTGTACAGAGAGAAAGGGAGAGAGATACAGAGTTAGAAACATCGATGAGAGAGAGTCATCGATCAGCTGCCTCTTGCACACCCCCTACTGGAGATGTGCCCACAACCAAGGTACATGTCCCTGACCGGAATCGAACCCGGGACCCTTCAGTCCCCAAGCCGACGCTCTATCCATTGAGCCAAACCGGTCCCGGCTTGTTTTTATTTTTTAAATATGTTTTTACTGAGTTAGGGAGAAGGCGAGGGCAAGGGTGAGGGAGAGGGAAAGAGAGAGGGAGAGGGAGAGAGAAACATCGATGTAAGAGAGAAACATTGATCAGTGGCCTCCCTGCACACCTCCTACTGAGGACTGAGCCTGCAACCCAGGTGTGTGCCCTGACCAACCAGGAATTGAACCAGTGCCCTTTCAGTGCACAGGACAATGCTAAACCAACTGAGCCATACTGGCCAGTGCCTGGAGACATGGTTTTTCAAGGCTCAATCTGGTTATGTGGGTATATACATATGTAAGAATTCATCAAGCTGAACAGCTGTAGATCTGCGTACTTTACTTGTCTCACCGGATGCACTTCACACCTTCATTGTTTAAATAAATGAGTGGAAGAAAAAAACTTCAGATTTAGACATATATGGCCATTTCAACATTACAACTTCAGTTTGAGGAAAAAGTTATTTGGATGTTCGTTAACTTAGAAGCAGGTTGGGAATAAGAAAGATATGAATGTTTATGCTTTTGTCAGTCTGTGATCACTGTTCTTATTCACAAGCAGCTCCTTTGATTAGCTCTGTCATCTCCCATGCTCCTCGCTGTGGGAAGCAGTGACAACCCCCTTACCTAGGAGCAGCTCGGGGTTTCTCAGCAAGGCCAGGCCGGCGATCATGGCTTTGTGGTGTTCACAGCACAGGTAGCTCTTATCGATGGACTGCCCCGGGGCTGCAGGGGGCTCCTCTGGAGTACCAGCTGGTGACTGCTTCTTCCTGTCCTTTTTCCGCTTCTTCTGGGCTAAATTAAGAGAGACAATGAAGTCCTATGCTTAGTCCACTGGTCCTCAGAGAGCAAAGCACCAGGGGCAATGGGCTGCGGCTGACTTGACCTCACTCACAAACCCAAGCGTTAAATATGCAGGAGTTTGAACTGGTTACATGTCAGAGTCTGAAAAGGAAAGTGGTAAAGATATACCCCAAAGCCTGAGAAAACTCAATCTAGGAGTCCTGGTACCACTCCTATGAGAAATATAAGGCCACTAACAGAATCTTCATAAATTCTTGTAGAGAAGGACTTACAATGATCTCCTTTATGCCAACTGCTATCCTAGGTTTTTTACTTTTAGCTCCTATAACTGGCAGATAGAACACGTAAGAAACTGAAGAATTAATAATTAGGTCCAGAATCAATAGGTAGTGCAGCCTGAGTATGAACTGGGACTGCCTGTCTCCAATGCCTATCATCTTTCTACTGTTCCACTCAGACAATAGGAATGGCTCACCTTACAGAGCCCTGTTGAATGAGTACCCGGACATATGTGGAACTTGTAAAGCAAGTGGCTTTTAAGCGGAAGGCATTAAAGTGATGATCATGTTTACTAGGGAAACCATGAGCCCTGCTCCTTATTATTTCACAGCCAGGCTTGGCTCAAGAACAGAACACAGACCTCTACTCTGCTTACGGCCACTCACACCCTAAGAGCCCAGGTGGTATAAGAGGACAACCCACTTGGCCATGTGCCTCTGGTCACAGATACCCAGGTCTGTCTTACATCTCGGCCATGCTCCCAGGTCCTTCTGACCACCCGAAATGTCCATTTGGGTCCCACCAATGTGCCTCTTGACGCCTCACCTCTGTGAGACACACCCTTCAGCAGTCTGGCTTCTGACTGCACCACGTTCCTGTTGCTGAGGAAGATGAGCCGCCGGAAGTAGCACTTGTCATCCCCCTGCACGTCCTCAATGACGTAGTCGCCACTCAAGGGGCTGCAGTCTTGGTGCTGAATGGTCCGCACCCCGATGTCTCCACCCACAGACAGGAAAGGCACCTGACGGTACAGCAGAGATGTGCTCAAAACACCAGCTCAGCTAAGAAACGTGAGAAAGTAGAACCCCCTCCCCGGTGTGTATCTGAGGAATCCATGCCATGGTTCCGGGCAGCAGAAATCCATAGATGTGCCTTTCTATTCCAGCTCTTCTCTGGGTCCTTTGACTTGATCTCATAAGGTTTAATTTACCTTTCTGAAAACTAACTGATCTCCCGCAAAACCATTATAAAATGCAGTTGGTTCTCCCCCAAGAAAAACAGAGGAGTTTCTCAAGAGTAATCCTCAAAAGCACTTTCAACAATGCAGGATAATCAAAGCCCGAGAGAACCTTGAGAAGAGACTATGATTATGAGAGAAGAAATATGATCGGGGATGAGATAACGAAATCCAGGGGAGATGACAGAGCTAATTCATCCACTCCAAACATGAAGAGATGTCTCCTTTCCCTTGGCCATTCTCATCCTTTTCTCTCATTATTCTAAACAGGAGAAAAAAAATTAGGAGAAAAATATATTTCTCCCCTAAACTTTCCTCTTTCCTTTTTCCAGTCTTTACATCTGTTGCTTTTCAAAGACCTACATGGATATTTAATGATCACCAGGGATTCCGGATTTGGCAGAGACATTGGCACTGGCAAGAGGTCACAAATAACCTCCCACAGGAGCTGGGTCCCTCTGATGGGCACCGACCCCAAGTCTACCAGGAAGACTCAAATACATGCCTCCGTAAGCACAAGTCAGCCTCGTGGGCAGAGCCCAGGCTGGGGAGCGGGAGCCTACTCTTTTTTTCAGATCAGTACATCACTCAGCTTTCCCCTCTGTCAAGAATAAAGTCACCTGCCCATTACCCTGCCTTGCGACCAGGATGGCATCAGACAGACCATGTTGACTGGTAATTCCATATCACCACTTTGGCAAAAAAAAAAAAAAAAAAATACCCTCCAGTTTCCTTCCCAGTAAAACCCCAGACCAGCAATGCTCATATCCTGAAAGTATCCATTTACTTTCAGATAATGATGGCTCTAAGGAGCAAAAGGGGCAAGGGTGGGTTAGAAGGAGTCCATGAGAGAATAAAGAGAACATATTTAATTCTTTCAACAATAAAGATTAAAACAAAACACACAAAAAAAGCAGCAACAAAGGATCAAGAGAGTCTTGTGCACAAGTGAGGACACAGTCATACAGTCCACAGAATGAAGAGCTAGAGCCTGCAAGAGCTGGAGTCTCCTTCATGCCTCCTCTATGGAGTCTGAGACCACCCAACCCCAGACCCAGATGTCCCTGGGTCTCAATATCAGCAACCGCTTGCCTTCCTCACGCTGCTTGGGGCAAAGAAATGTGATTGATGCCCACTCAGCTCTTAGCTGCTGACATGCCCTCTGGGAGCTAACTACGGTCAGAGCCTGCCCTAGCTTCTTTCAGGACACCCTCTGCCTTCCCGGCTGCCAGTGTGACTTCTCCAGAGACCTGTGAAAGCTGCTGCCCAGCTTCCTTACCTGCTGCTGGGCGGGCATCCCGGCCGGGGCCAACTCCATGACTCTGGCCGACAGCTCGGCCTGGATGCTCTCCATGCCTTCGTACTGCTGACCCCGGTGCAGGGCCACTGTGATCAGCCTCCTGAAGCCAGCGCTGGCCGCCAGCTGCTTCCGGCCCTCCTCCATGCCAAAGAGCCACTCGGTCTCCCGACCCTGGGGGACTGGAAACAGGCGCCTGGTGACAGGGAGTCCCGGGAAGAGTGTTCGAGCCCACTATCGACATGACCACATGGCAGAGAGCCAGGCCCTGCCCAGGCCCAGAATCCCTTCCAACTGTGACCCACGGAGGGGGTTCGAGTCCCTGGAGCACAAGGCCCAGAGCAAAGCTGCCATCAGACATGAGACAGGACAGGAATAAGAAGTGTGAGCACACGAGCAAGGGAAAAAATAGCAATACTACTAATGCTTATTCCATACCAGGCGTTATTCCAAGCACTTAACAAATAGAAGCACATAGAATCTTCACAATAGCCCGGGCTGCAGGTAGTAGTATTAGTCCCATTGTACAAATGAGGAAACTAAGACAGAAGTTACATTCTTTGCCCCAGTCATGAACTAGTAAATGGCAAAGCTGGAACTCAAACCCAGGCAGCCCAGCTGCAGACTCCAGGCTCACGTCCAGGGCACGTGTTTGTTCCCACCGGTGCAGGCAGGATTATGGAATACTTGGGGAAATGGCTCAGTGTGACCAATCGACACCTTGCATTTATCTAAAATATTCTATTTTTTAAAGCATTCTCTCATATTCTCCTTTCTGAACATTATTAATGTAAATCTGGTATCGTTTACTCCTTTTAATAATAACACTAATGTCCATAAAGCAGTTATCATGTGCCAGGCACCTTCCTAAGAGCTTTTACACTTCTCACAACTATACAAGGTAGTTATGAGGTCTCTTATGGATGAGGAAACTGAGGAACAGAAAACAAATAACATGTCCAATGTCACATCACCAGAATGTGACTGGGACAGAACTGGAACCCAAATAACCTGGTTCCAGAGCCACTGCTCTGTACTAGCTCTCTAATTCAGCAGAGAAACTGGGCAATTTCCCCAGGTCCCACAGCTTAAAGGCTACCGACCTGAGCCTGGACAGCTCCCACCACTTAACGTTACAAGGTAACTACCATCTCTACAGTGTGTGGTTTGCCTAAATGCATCTGTATGACTCCTCTCCTTCCTACCAACCCCATTCTCCCACTTCGCCAAGGCTTTGTGATGGAAGATGAGGAGAAAGAAGCTTCAAATCGAAGGTACCCGGAGAGTTGCTATTGTTTCTTCCTCACGCCTCGGCCAATCTAACCTCTGAAAGTACCATATCCCTGCCAGATGAAACCAGCCAAGGCACACCCATCCACCAACGCCCCAGCCCAGCCCTTCCAGGGAAGAGAGGGACCGATCCCAACTCACTGATGAAAATGGCAAAATGATTGTCCCGCGATGGTTTCACGGCGGGGCTGTCCACCACGTGGAGGGTGTAGCGTGGCTCCCCCGTGTCCCCACTGCACAAGTCCAGGGACACACTCCCCAGCCCGGCCTTGCGGCACAGCTGGCTGCACAGCCAGGCATACTGCTGACGCCCCCGCACTGCCTCGGCCAGCCGCTCAGCGCTCTCCAGCCGCACCGGCTTGCCCTGCTCCTGAGCACACAGCTCAAGGATCTGAAGGGCGGAGCCAGGGGTCGGCCTGAACTTGGTCATGATGAAGGCAAAGACAGGCAGGGGAAACCGAGGCTCTGCTTCCAACACCCGGTCCTGGCTGCTGGCCACCTGATGCACCCTGACCATCCACCCCTCCCTGGAGAAGTGACCCACTGCTTTCTTCAGGACGTGAGCCTGAGCCAGGGAGATGCAGAGGTAGCGACCGCCCACCTGCAGGACACGGCCAACCTCGGCCAGCATCCTGTCCACCTGCTGCAGGGTCTTCTCCTCCTCGTCCGTCAGGACAGCATCCAGGGTGCCCTTGTCTAGCACCACCTGGAAAGAGGCATCCGGAAACTCCATCTGGGTCATGTCCATCTTCAAGAAGCTCATCTGGGGCCGTCGGCTGGCATTGCGTTCCTTCATTTGCTTGATGACAACCTCGCTGATGTCAATGTTCACAATATCCTGATAGCCCACATCGTACAGCTGCTCGCTGAGCTCCGAGTTACCACACCCAATCACCAGCACCTGAAGGGGGGGGAGGGAACAGACAGGATGGAGGTGACTAAGGCAAAGGAATGAGCTTCACACGTGCTGAGGAATCAAGTCTCGCCTTGGCTGTTGCATGTTTTCTGTGTAATGTCACTGAAGAGAGCACCATTACAGAGCTGATTCTAGGCTCCATCTTAAAACACCTTTGGTTAGAGGACTCACTAGTGAAAATCACATTCAGCAACAGCCATGCAGGTCATGTGGAAATGGGCTTTCCACATTATGGAAACAAGCTAATCATGGTTGTTCTTTTCTCTGAATCAGGCATTTTTGCTCAAGAACTGGTAGGAAGTCACAGAATCCAAATGCAATAAGTAGTTACAGTTGAAATCTCCTATCTGTTGTACTGTTGAAAATCTAGTTCATAATCCTATTCCACTCATGCCTTTGGCTTCTCCTCCTGATATCCTGGTATTTTCTGAAGCTGAACTTAAATACACAAGTTGTTGCCTCATGCTCTATTAATAGTAAACTCCTATTAATCCTTCAAAATTCTACCCTGATGTCACCATCTCTGGAAAAGCACGGTACACACAATGAGAAGTGCCTAAACTTTGGAGCTTGATGGGCCAGAGTTTAAATTTCCATGTGGCCACTTATTAGTTGTATTATATTAAGATCTCAGAGCCTCATTTATCCATCTGTATAACGTGTGTACACCTTTCACTTCAGAGTTTATTATGAGAATTCAACTATCAAACACTCAAACATACACCCAGCACAAGGCTTGATGCTTAAAACTTCCTTAAAGCTTTCTACCCTTTTCCTACCTCCAGTACAAGCCCACCTCTGTCAAAACTGCTCTCTTCGGGATTGTGCCCAGGGCATTATACCTTAATGCTCTTCTAGTGTAAGGGCTGAGCACGTTGCCTGAAAATAATACTACAATTATTTGATAACAGATTTGTGTATCAGTGAAACATGGCTAGTGCCTTCTTCACAAGGATGCAGTGACAGAAACGCACAGAAGACCACATCTAGGTTGAGTTATTAAAATAAGTGATTCTTTCACTGGGGTTATTCATTGAAGGATGCTCTGGGGCGGGAAATCTTTTATCTCAAACCTTTTAAAAAATATATTTTTAACTGTCTTTCAACCAGAATGATGCATGAAATCCTGAAATTATGAGCCCATTTAGGGGCCCCATGCCTGTCCCTGTTTACCGTGTGCAGGATAACCTGGAACGAACGAACGAACACACACTCATTCTCATTCTCTCATTTTCATTCTCATTCTGTTGCTCTCGCTCTCCCTCTCTCATCTCGGCTGCCAGGCCGCACTTACCTTTTCCCGGGGCTTCATGTACTTGTGCAGCACCCCGCACAGTTCCAGGTAAGTCCCATACCATTCGAAAGCTTTCTTTCCGCGCTGCTGGAAGAACTTCTCCCAATAGTCCACGGAGCCAAACTCCTTGGAGCTCTTAGGTAAGAGATTCATATTTCCAACACCGCGGCTGCGTCTTCGAGACGGTCCCACCCCCGGTAAGGGAGGTACCTACGGAGGGGCTTCCCACCACGCTGGCTCCGGGACACTTCAATGGGCTTTCCTTCCACAGACAAGCAGCCACGTTGATATTTTCCCCATTTAAAACCCAAAGGGAGGGCCCTCACGCGACACCGAATCGAACACGCTCACCCTCGACTCGGCGCCCACAGCCCCTGCCACATGGGGAGCGCCTCTCCTCCTCAGAGCTTCATTTCAGAGCCGGCAATCATATCCGGGTGCGAGGCTTCGCCATTGGTCGACCGTCCAGACCTCCCAGCATTTCATTGGTCACTGAGTTTTTGTTCCTGCCACCCCATTGGCTGCAAAGGGGCTCGCCTCACGCAGGCGCCGAGCGTTTGTTTATGTGAGGCGGAAGTAGGCGGGCCCCGTGGATGGGGGCGGAAGTGGCCAGTTCCCTGGAACCCAGGCTGATGTCTGAACCCCGGGGGAGGGCAAGCTTCCGGGGCTCTGTGTTCGCTTCGTCACCAGGTCTTATCATAAGCCACCTAGGACCTGAGCACTCATAATTGAGGTAAAGCTCCAATTCATAAAAAAAGAAAGAAATGTGACAGTAAATCCAGCCAGACCTCCTCTCCCAATGAGATTTGATTCCCAGAATTCTCTGCGTTCAGTAGTAGTTTCCTTGTCTGTCGTGGACATCTGCAGGCACCCCAGTTTCCCGATAACGCTTGGACTGGTAGGCAGTTAATTCCCTTTTATAGGGGAAACTAAGGACATAGCATAAATGGTAGTAAGTTGTTTGCCTTTGGGACCAGTGGGCAATAACAGTTTGATATTAAAAAGCCAGGAAAGATGAGGGAACAGTGCCTGAGCCTAGTTATTTTAGGTCACAACTCTAAAGGATGCCGGTGAAGGTCTACCCTCCCTTTCTCCTCCGCTTCCTTCTAAAGGTCTCATCAGCCCCACCCCGAGTGACTGATCACAGCTGCCTCCGCCTACTCCCGACACCACGCCGTGTCGGAACGGAACCTCGGGAACCAGTTATTCCTCGCTTAAAGCGCCTTATAACCCGAGGGATCCGGATCCGAATCAGCACCTGCCGCCGGATCCTCCCTTCTCTGGGGAGAATCGACTCCTTCGACGATCGTCGCGGCCTGGCCCCGCCCCCCGCCTGGCGCCAGGCCGCGGAGCGGAGCGCCAATGAGCTCGATCAGCGGGGGCGCAGCTGCGGCGGAGCGGCGGGCGCCGACTGGGCGTCCACTGCCTCCGCTCCCCGCCTCCTTCCTCGGCCCCCGGTTCCTTCCCCCGGCCGCCCCGAGACCTCCCGGGAGACTCAGGTACGGGCGCCCGCCTGGTCTCGGAGAGGATGGTGGGAGGAGGGAGGCGGAAGGAAACGGAGAAGACGCCCCAGTCCCGCAACGCCCGCGTCAGGCCTGGGGCCCCGGAGGGTGACCGGAGCGGGCGCAGGTGGAGGGGGCCGCGGGGGGGACCGGGGAGCGGGGAGGAAGGGCGAGGGGAGGGAGGGGGTGTCCGGGGGCCGAAAGCACCGGAGGTTGGAGCAGACCTGGTGCGACAGATGGGGCGGGGGAGGAGCCTCGGGCCGGAGGGCCGGGCGGGGTCGGGATTTAAAAGGCTCCGTGGGTGGGGACTGGCCGTGCGGGCGGCCGCTGCGCTGGCCGGTTTGGTGACAGGTTTGGTGAATGGCGGCCTCTCCGGGCTGCGTGTGAGTCCAGGCGCCGGTTTCCCGGAACCTGCATCCGCCTCGCCTGCGGGCGAGAGACGGGGAGAGGAGTCGGACCCTGAGGGAGTGGAGGCGGGGACCGGGGACCCCTCGGCCCGGTGCGAAATGAAACACACCAGGTGGCTTGGTAGTTTTTTTTGCCACCATTTACCAAACAACAGGTTAGAAGCGTGTTAGGTGCAAAGCTCCCGAAGGGAGAGCGCGCGGCCTCTTCCAAACATGCATGCATTGTAAACGTGGGAGGATGGCAGCGGAAGCAGACGGTGATGACATTTTTGTTGTGGTTTTTTTTAGGTGAATTGTGCACCGCTATTCTGCCCTCCGTGCTGAATTGCCTGGTGAAGACTCTTGTTTACTTCTACATCTAGACACAGACACCTGCATGCATGCGTGAGGTTTTGTTTTGTCTTGTTCTCCAGACATCTTCTTAGGAGAGCATGTATAAGTATAATTGCTAAGTATGGTGGTGGTTTGTTTTTTTGTGTTTTTTTTTCTACCTGTGGTTTGGTACAGATATCACCCGTTGCCCTGTGGTTCGTGATGCGTAGTCAGTTCATCTGCCTGCTGCTTTGCTGTTGGCTTTTTTTTGTTGGTCAAATGTCGGTTTCTTGCCTTCCCGAGGCTTATCCTTGGATTATGGGCTCTGAAGATGGGTCTTGCTCACCATTAAGCTTGTGTTTCATCAAGAAGTTATGTAAATCTGCCTGTTAGTGCACTGAGAGGTTGAGGTAGCCTCTTGGTGGGGTTTTACAAATGCAAACAAAATGCGGTTGTAATACAAAGCTCAGTCCTTCAGGTTGCTTCCTGTGTCATTTGTAGGTGAGTTTTTGTTTCGTTTTGTTGTTTTTTCATTCATCCTGTAACATTTCTGCATGAATGAATTATTCTGAAATCAAGGCCAGAAATATTGGTGAATGAACTCTAGAGTTGTTTACTCAGGTGGCAAGTATTTGTTTTTGTGGGTTGTTTTTTGTTTGTTTGTTTTTTTCTTAACACGTGGTTAAGTTTCAGGTTCTGGAGCATTTCTTATTCAAGAACAATTTCTTACCAATTTGTTTTGACAGGAAGCCAGCTTCAAATCTTACTTTTATTTCGTTTTTGAAACTGGACTGTGGGCTTGTTTATTTTTTTACATTATAACATTCACCAACAAACTGATGTCCAGCTACAGTTAATTTGAAGCTCTTCAGATTCTTCCTGCGGAAGGGAGAAGAGGGCTGCTGGATTGTTACAGGGAAGTGGTCTTTCTAGGACACAACTGTGTAACCTGCTGGCCCACTAACTGAATAACTATCACAACTGATCATGCACAGCCATGATTCACTGAGGCTTGTGCTTCTGCTATGTCAGTGGGAAGGGGGGCTAACACTGTTAATTACTTCTCTTTACTAAGCCTTGGCTTTCCTGCAGTTTTCTAGTGCCTAAGAGTAACAGGAAATGCACATAAATCCCTGAGCACAATGCCCAGCTCACAGTAAAACTTTGGGCACTCATCATTCATCCATCTTCTGGTCCAAGAATCCGAAAACAAAAACGCATACCTGCATACATCAGCTTTTTCTGGAGAAAATTTTGAGTATGTTGCAAACTCAAGCATGTTCCTGGAAAATCACAAAGCATATTAGCGTATATAAGGAAGTGAGACTTTCTGTAGGGGAAGAATACTGGCTTCTTTTTTTTTTTTTTTTTTTTTTTTTTTTTTACAGTTCTTAACAAACATCACTTTTCTTGGAACACCCAGTGGATGTTAGAGTTTACAGAATGCTTTCCCATGTATTATCTGAATGGACCCCTCCCAATTCCATGCAGAAGCCTAGAAAATACTGTTTCACACATGAGGGGGCTGAATCGTTCAAACAACTAACCTCAAGTGAGCACTGAAAGTGTTCTGCTGACCGCTCACTCCAAGTAAAAATCCTAAAGCAGTGGTCGGCAAACCGTGGCTCGCGAGCCACATGCGGCTCTTTGGCCCCTTGAATGTGGCTCTTCCACAAAATACCACGGCCTGAGCTGGTCTGTGTTGAAGAAGTGGCATTAGAAGAAATTTAAGTTTAAAAAATTTGGCTTTCAAAAAAATTTCAATCGTTGTGCTGTTGATACTTGGCTCTGTTGACTGAGTTTGCCGACCACTGTCCTAAAGCATTCAGTGTCCTACTTTCAAGATGCACCTCCTATAGTCATTTCCTTCATGTACAGTCTGCTTTTTCATTTTATAAACTCATTTCCTCCACGTGATCTCCTAAGAAAATTACATCCATTTTTCCATGATTTTTTTTTTTTTTTTTTTTTACTATTTCTTATGTGTTGAGGCCCAGCAGGGAGGGCCCTGGAGAGGAGCAAGTGAGGAGGGAGTAATTGGAGTCAGAGGAGGAAGGAGGCCCCTTCACAATAAGGCTGTGGCCTCTGTTGTAAGTGCTTACCTTTGCCTTTCACCCAGAAGTCTCAAATCCAGTGAAACCTATTTTTCCTTTAAGGTGGTGAGACCTTACTCTGAAGAGAACTTCTAGAGCCAAAAAGAAAATATGCCTCCCAAGTTCAAGCGCCACCTGAACGATGATGATGTCACTGGTTCTGTGAAAAGTGAAAGGGTAAGTTCAGAATCTTAAGCTTTTAAAAAAGATTAAAAACGTTTTCAGCCAGGACCGGTTTGGCTCAATGGATAGAGCGTCGGCTTGGGGACTGAAGGGCCCTGGGTTCGATTCCGGTCAAGGGCATGTACCTTGGTTGTGGGCACATCCCCAGTAGGGGGTGTGCAAGAGGCAGCTAATCAATGACTCTCTCTCATTGATGTTTCTAACTCTCTATCTCTCTTCCTTCCTCTCTGTACAAAAATCAATAAAATATATATTTAAAAAAAAAAAAACGTTTTCATTCCTGTTACAAGTACTTTGTTTTAGAAAACTCTAATGTTTATGGCTGTATTCTAATCCCTTTGTTCGTCACAGAAAACATTAAAAAGTAGTATACTTAAGATGGTGACTTAATTGAATTCTCCTTCCGTTACAACATCTTATAAACAGATGTTGGCTAGAAAATGTTGAATTCTAATCCTGTATGATTTTTTTTTAAGAAAAAATTAATTCACATTAATCCATTGGGGCTTTTTCTGCACTAGCCAGTCCCTCTGCTGGCCATGAATACTCTTCACCCTGACCTTTGGCTTGGCTCTTTGTTACCGTTTGGATCTCAGCTTAATTTTCACCCCTGGAGAGTGATTTTCCTGGACAGCCTAATCTCATTTAATCCTCCCGTCTCTTTCTATCCCATCTCCATTTTAATTCTTTGCATAGCATTTATCGCTATCAGATATCTTTCTATGAGAGCTCAAACCTTGTCTGTGATCTCCAAAGCCGGTGCGTGGTCCTTAGAACAGTGCCCAGCCCAGAGATGCTTAAACATCTCTGTTGAATGACAGCTGGATAGAGGAAGGCAGGAGAAGGAGAAGGGACTTGCTCCTCCCAACTGCTCTCTGTTCCTTGGTCCACACCGCTCAGTGACCTTTCTGCCTCATGGTCATTCCACTATTAGGGATTCCACTATTAGAAGCATTTTCCTCCAAAAGTCTGCCCGTGTGGTTCTAGATCTTTCAGCTTCCATTGAAGCCCATGCAATTACTTTCCCCCTGGAAGCTTGGAGTTCAGAAATTTCACCAGAACAGAACTTGTTTTATTACACCTGACAGTGTGTAAGCCCTGAAATCTGAAAATTCAAGTCATTTTCTCTCTTTTTTTTTTTTACAGAGAAATCTTTTGGAAGATGATTCAGATGAAGAAGAGGACTTTTTTCTGTAAGTTTTTTAACAGCTTTATTGGGCTCAAATTGACATAGAATGTATACACTATGAGTTTTGACATGTACTGTATACTTGTGAAATCATGACCAAAATCAAATAATATACAGCGCCATCATGTTCAAAGTTTCCTTGGTTCTTTTGATAATTTCTCATTCTCCCAATCTCTAGGCAATCACCGATCTGCTTTCTCTTTCTATAGTTTGTACTTTTTAGAATTTTTTTATTATGAGTGGAACCATACATTATGCTTCTTTTTTTATTGACTTCACTCATCTGCATAATTATTTTGAGATTCATCCATGCTGTCACATATATCAGGTTTGTTTCTTTTATTTCTGAGTAGTGTTCTATTATATGAATGTTCTGCAGTTCATTCTTTCACTCAAGATGGCTATTTGGAGTAGTTGCACTTTTCAGCTGCTATAAATAAAGCTACTATAAACATTTTCATACAGATTGTTTTGTGTGAACATCTGCTTTCATTCTCTTGGGTAAATAGTTAGGAGTAGAATAACTGGTGTATATGTGCAGCTATTTTCCAAAATGGTGGCCCATTTTATATTCCCATCAGCATTGCATGAGAATTCTAATTGCTCCAAATTCTCATCAGCACTCTATATGGTCAGTCTTTCATTTTAACCATTCTTGTGGGTGTATAGTGGTATCTCATTACATTTTAATTTGCATTTCCATAATAACAAATTAGGTTGAACATCTTTTATGTGCATATTTTTCATCCCCATACCTTTATTTTTTTAAATGTCTTTTTATTGATTTTTTAGAGAGAGAGAAACATGGCTTGGCTTCCTCCTACATGCCCCCTAATGGGGATCAAGCCCCGAACTGGGGCATGTGTCCAGATTGGGAATCGAACCGGTGACCACTTGGTGCACAGGATGACAATCAGTTGAGCCACACTGACTGGGCATCCTCACATCTTTTTTTAAAAAGTACATGTTAAAATATTTTGCCCAATTTTAAATTTGTCTTCCTAGTAAGAGCTTTTTACACAAGAGCTTTTCAAGAAAAAAAGTTCCTTATCAAATATGTTGTACAAATATTTTCTCCCAATTTGCAACAAAATCTCTTCATTTTCACAACAGTATCTTTTTTAAGATCCAAGTTTTGATTTTGATGAAATAAATTTACTAATTTTTTAAAACTATTTTTGCTTATTTAAGAAATCTTTGCCAATCTCACTAAGATTTTCTTCTATTTTTTTTTCTTAGGAGTTTTATAGTTTTCCCTTTTACATTTAGGTTTATAATTTACTTTAAATTAATTATCACATATGGTTGAGTTAAATAAAAAATATTTTTTTTATTCTTTTGGCATATGTCTATCTAATTATGCCATCACTATTTGATGAATTGGTTATTCTTTTCCCCCATTGAATTACCTTAATAATTTGTCAGAATTAAATGACCTGATCAATCCTTTGGAGTTGTTTAGAAAGGGCTCTCAGAGCCTGTGTTTGTATTTGCAGTCAGGAAGGAGGACATACTATTTTAGATTGCTCTAGAAATTAATGTAGAGATGATCTTGAGAGGAACCATCTGTCTTTCTCTTTGTTATAATGTTGTGAAGTTTTTTGTAAAAGCTCCCCCCCCCCAAAAAAAAACAAAAAACATTTTATAAAATGTGATTGACAACCATAAAGCATTGAACAGAAAGGACCTACAGGATATAAAACAAATCCAGTTACCGGGAATAGTATCATTTTTTGCATGGAGGGCAGATGAAGTGGGAAGATAATTTCCTACAGGTGACAAGATTTCCATAGAGTCACAAAACGAATTGCCGATAGTGCTGATTATGGTAAGGAGCCGTAGTCTACAGCAATAACTACCTGTCAGAAAAGAACTCGGTATTGGAAAGACGGCCAGATGGTTTAGTTAAATAAGTGATTACCTGAATGAGGTTTAGACACCCTTGTGGGAAACACGAACTCTTCCTGCAGCAATTTACCACGGAAGGTCCACTCCCAGCTCATGCTGTGCGTCTTCAAAGGGCTGGACAGCAAAATTAGCACACGTGTCCCAATACAACTCCCACACCCTGTGGTTTTGTCTGCGTTGGAAGGGGGACACACCAAATAAAGTTCTTGAAATAATTGTAAAAATGTAATCAACACCCATGTTTATTGCAGCAATATTCACAATAACCAAAAGTTGGAAGCAACCAAAGTGTCCATCAGTGGACAGAGAGATAAACAAAGTGTGATATACATATAGTGGACTTTAGTCTTAAGAAGGAAGGACATTTTGACACGCACTGCAACATGGATGAATCTTGAAGATATCACGCTAAATGAAAGAAGCTGGTCATGAAAGGATAAATTTTACATGATTCCACTTACATTATGTGCCTAGAGTAGTTGAATTTATAGAGCACAAAATAGAACAGAGGCTGCCAGGGGCTGGGAGGAGTGGGAACTTGGGAATTAGTGTTTAATTAGTACAGAATCTTTTTTCTTTCTAGTTTTGTAGCTTATATCTTATTCTCTATCATCAGAAGAAGAACAATTACTTAAAATATCTAAAAGGGTTTTTTTTTTTATTTCCGGAATTTTAAAAGGGGTTAATTAAAATGATACAGCAGTTTACTGTAATAGAGAAGGATTTGAGAAATGTTGATATTTTCATAGAGTTCTGCAAATTTCCCTTCAGCTTAAGTTTAAGAGGAGGAAAAATTTTTAGCCTTTTGAATGGATTGTTCTCTGTATCCATCCTAATAATCAGCATCCCATAATGGTGAATTCAAGGTGAATGCACTTTTTAGTTTTCTATAATTGATCATAAAGCTATTCATACTCCTGGCATTGTAGTTGTTATGGTATTACAAAGTTTAATCATAGAGCATCCTGTGTGTAAAGGTTATATAAACCCAAATTTCCCTGGAAGTTATAATATTCAGAAGAATTAGGTTAATTGTGGCCAGCATTAAGTGCTAATGAAGGACAGACATGATTACATATCATTCAGTTCCAACAGTACCTGTAAATGTGGTGAATGACCTTATGGTGAATGACCATGTCTAGGATTTAGCTTGATTTTGTGTGTTTTCTGTTTTTTCCTTGTTTTTAATGCTCTCATTATTTATATATGCAGTTGGCATTTTGTTTACAGACGGGGACCATCTGGACCAAGATTTGGACCTAGAAATGATAAAATTAAGCAGTAAGTTCCTGAGATACTCATTTGTTTAAGTGATTATCATCTTTCTGTGTGGACCAGACGGGGGCAACCTACATAACCTGTGAGTCATGTCTGGCTGCCACCTATATTTGTAAATAAAGTTTTATTGGAGCACAGCCATGCCTATTTGCTTTCTTATTATCTAAGGCTGCTTTCAAACTACAATGGCAGATATGAGTAGTTGTGACAGAGAACTGATGGCATGCAAAATCTAAAATATCTATTATCTAACTGGCCCTTTATAGAGGAAATTTGCTGAGCCCTGATATAGACAAAATATAATTGCTGGGTTTTAAAAATTTTAAAAATTTTTATTTTCACAAAGCTACGTCTGACTTATCGCTAAAGAAATGCAGTACCTGGTTCTTGGTTTTTCTTAATTACCTTATGTCAAATCTATTCATTTAGCACAATCTTAAGGTCTATTTTGTTGTTTTTAAATATATTTTTATTGATTGCAGAGAGAGGAAGGAAGAGGGGGAGAAAGGTAGAAACATCTATGATGAGTGAGAATCATGGATCAGCTGCCTCCTGCACGCCCCACACTGGGGGTTGAGCCCACAACCCAGGACCCTTCAGTTCACAGGCTGACACTCTATCCACTGAGCAAAACTGGCTAGGGTTAGGCTGCCCTGATTTTTTTTGAGTATATGATAGATGGCACATCATGTGATGGGATATCACATTTTTTATGAAATACTTGGACCAAAATCAGGAAGCTGCTGGTGTGAAGAAATATGCCCACTGATCCTAGCTCATGGATTCTGAAATATAGAACCAAGATACCAACAAATTGGTTCAAGTACTAAACGGGATGTTTTTATTTTCTGTTGCTGTGTAACAAATTGGCCTGACATTAGCAGCCTAAAACCGGACACAACCGTCACCTCAGATTTCCCATGGCTCAGGAGCTCAGGCACTGCATAGCTGACCCTCTGCACAGGGTCTCAGAGTCCTGAAATCAAGGTGTCACCATGACTTACTTCACAAATTAATATAAGGTAGTTTTTGCCTAATGACTGGAGCAACAGCGGGAAAGTAGACATTTAAAATAGTGAACATGTCTGTGTTGATGTACTCCAACACAGCGAGAGTAGGCAGCTGAAAACCAGTTACTAAATTTTTGAATATATATTAAATCTTCATTGAACAGCCTGAGTTAGGACAGAGCAGGCCCTCGTCACCTGATATAAAGGAGGAAATTATAGTTTTATTCTAAAGAACAACATATAGGTTTCCGAGTTGCTCCACTGGGTACTTCAGACCTTCCCAGGCGTTGCCAGGGTCTTAAACACTGTTTAAACGGAAACCGAGGAGCAGTGAGGAAGAGAGTTTTCCCCATTGAGAGTCATTGCCCTAGAGCAGACCTTACATTTCCATTTGGGAGACGGTGTTTTCATGAGCTCCTAACATACGTGGGCAAACTCCTTCGTTAGTCCTAGTGTGTGACTATACAGCACGCTGAGGGTACAGCTGAGTCCGTGTGATGCCTCAGCTCCCGCATGAAAAGAAAATGGAGCTGATAGGTCAGAGTCAAGCTATCTGACTAAATTCTTCAGTACTTTCACATTTCATAGTTGAATAATTCTGAGAATTTTCTCTTTTCCATCATGTCTAATGAAAGTCAAAAATTATAAAATCCTCAAGAGAAAAATAAATATTGTTAATCCTTTTTTTTTAAACTAGTGTTCAGAATCAGGTGGATGAAGTTATTGATGTCATGCAAGAAAATATTACAAAGGTCATTGAAAGAGGGGAGAGACTAGATGAACTCCAGGACAAATCAGGTACAGATATTTTATGTATTTCTTGATATTATTAACCTGTTTTAATAGTGTACTTCTCTCATTTTTCTAGCTGAAGTTTAGGAACATGTGACTTAGTAAAATAGTATTTAGTTCTTAAATGGGTGACTGTCATGTTTTCACTTTAGCTTCTTTTACTTTAAAATCATCTTGTGTTATTTCTTCAAGTGATCAATTGAGAATGGAAAATTTAAAAAATCATTGTCGAAGAGTTAGAGTGGCCTGTTTTTCTTTTTTCCTGTTACATTGATGTGCTTTGTATTTCTCACCTCCAGGAGAGGTCTGATCACGTCAACACTTAATTTGAAATGTATCTGATAGTTTTATCTTTTCTTCTCTGGTAACATGTTAGTCTCTGTGCCTATAATAGGTACTCAGATATTGTTTAAATAATGAGTGGCTGAATATATGACTAATCCTTCATAGAGTTGTTTAAAGAAAAACTTAATCACTTAAAATTCACATTTTTTTGCTTCTACATCAGTCACTTTTGGTGTTTTCTAAGAATGTAACCTTCACGTGTCCATTTTTTCTGTAGATGTGCCAAGTACTTGAATTTTTAAAATCTACTTTTTAAAATGTGTCTTTATTGTTGAATGTAATACAGATGTACCCTTCCCGACCCATTGACCCTTTTAGCCCACCCCTGTCCCCCAAGTAGCTAAAGAGTATTTTCTTACCAGAATTCATAGGTTTCTTTGAAAGGCTTAAGGCCCTGGAAAGACTTTTCTTAATGTTATAAATATGGATTGAACAAACTGACCAGCAGTTTTTTACTTTTTGATTTTTATTTATTTTTTTTTTTTTACAATACAGAATGTCAAAGTTTGTGGTAGAGGAAAGGGAGGGTATTATTTTCATGCTGAAAAGGGAATAAATTTGCAGAAATAGAAATTAATATTTTCTTGTCTTTGTGTGACTAGATAAAAGAATCCTGTTATGTCGTTTAATCCTTCTCTCCATCCTCTGTGTGATATAGAAAGCTTGTCGGATAACGCAACTGCTTTTAGCAACAGATCCAAACAGCTTCGACGGCAGATGTGGTGGCGAGGATGCAAAGTGAGTAAAGCAGAAGCTCATGGGAAGATTGGTCCGCACCTGGATGCTGTTCAGTCAGGAAGGAAAGGGCCCCTGGATTATAAACCCAGTGAAGACAGACACTATGGCTGCCTCACTTTCCATTATGTCTTCTGAACCTGGGCCAAACTCAGTTAATACATGCTGAATGAGTATTAGCTTGGGAACAGAAATATCTAAAGAAATCAAACAATGCTTAAAAAGTTGTTTTCATGAATTTCTTCATAAACAGTTAAATTTTATTAATAATGTGCTACCTCTAAACATAAATATTAATTTCTCTCAGAACTTATTATGAGTATGTTTTGGAGCAGCCAATAGCATTACATACAGATATTAATAAGGTAGAACGAAAGCTAAAGAAAAATATATTTCTTGAAAAAGGGATAAAAGCAGTTTATATGTCAGAATATGGCAAGTATAACTAAGAAAAAAATCCTCTATTATTATTCCAGAGAAATAATAAAAGAAAAAATAACAAGGAAAAAAGAGAATTGTTATATACCAATATATTTCTGCAAAACACTTGCTTGAAATGAATTTACTTTTTTTTAATATTGAATGCTTGCTTGATTGATTTCAGAGAGAAAGTAAGAGGGAGAGAGAGAAATATCAATGATGAGCGAGAATCATTGATATGTTGCCTCCTGCACACCCAGTACTGAGGATTGAGCTGCAACCTGGCACGTGCCCCAACCAGGAATCAAACTGTGACCTCCCAGTTCATAGGTCAAAGCTCAACCACCAAGCCACACCCACCAGGCCTGAACCATCTTTAATCGATCATCTGTGAAAATCTTTGATTTTAATTTATCAGAAAAATCGTTTTATAATTTATGCATTTTAGGATCAAATGAGGAATATGACAATATTATAGAGAGAAATGCTGTGAACTTAAAATTTAAGTCAGCTCACTAAGGACTAACCTTAAGATTTCTCCACAACTGTGAAACTGACAGAGAATGCTCTCAGCCACACTATTTGTCACATAAGGTTATTCATGGAGAATCTAAATTCCCTTCCTCAGAGATAAAAGTACCAAGAAGAAAGTAAGGGGAGCCAAAACAGAATTCTCATATCCTTTGAACAAGGCTACACACATGCTGCCTTGTACTGTGTGTATGAGATCATTTGCGTTGGATGCCGGTGCTGTTTATTTGTCCTGATTCAGCTTTTTAAGAGTTGGTAAAATGCCGTGCTTTTCCTGGTCTCTTATTAAAAGTGAGAGCAAGCCGGGTCCGGTTTGGCTCAATGGATAGAGCGTCGGCTTGGGAACTGAAAGGTCCCGGGTTCGATTCCGGTCAAGGGCATGTACCCTGGTTGCGGGCATATCCCCAGTAGGGGGTGTGCAAGAGGCAGCTGATCGATGACTCTCTCTCATCGATGTTTCTGACTCTCTATCTCTCTCCCTTCCTCTCTGTACAAAATCAATAAAATATATTTAAAAAAAAAAAAAAAAAAAAAAGTGAGAGCAAGAAGTCCAGGTCCATGGAGACTGATTACTGTCCACTGGGCAATGAGTCTTGAACAGAAAACTCTGGGCAAGCAAAACCCTTAAATTGGGGGGACCCTAATTATTAACGAAAAGATGCTAATAGCAAGTTCACATGAAAAATTCTATTATAAAAGCTTTTTAAGGGACGAGCCTCCTCACTGATGAGTTGGTATAATTGGTAAATAACAGCAGATATGGTAAATGGTATAATATGGTAAATCCAGAATAAAGTCAGGATTAATTTTAATATCTTTCTTATGCCTTTTTGTGTGTTGTAGATAAAAGCCATCATGGCGTTGGTTGCTATTATCCTTTTGTTGGTGATCATCAGTAAGTATTTCCTGGATTGTTAATTTTGGGGAGTATCATTTGTTCATTTTAATTCCCTTTTTGTTTTCAGCTGATGTGGTCTGACTATCAGGATTGAGAAATGATTTCTGACCCAGTCAAGAGCTCTTAGCCTAAACTCTGTGAACTCTGAAAATGCTTCTAAATTGTATGCAATCGCAGGGCTAAGTGCTTTGTTTGAGGCCAAATATGGCTACTATTACACCACAGCCCACAGCTCTCATCTGCTTATTATCAACCAGAAGGAATGGCAGCTTGCATCTCTTAGTATTGTTGGAAGGACAAATCTAGATGAGCTCTTTAGATGAATGTTTTTTTGTTTCTGTTTTGGATTTGAGTTTGATTTCAGTCATTAATATTCTTAATATTCTTTTAAAGTAAGATCATTTTTATATCTCATTTTCTCCAAGACCTCTTTCCCTGTGTTTACAGGGACTTTATGAAGATTTGGAAAGTGTCTCAAAATAATCATTTGAAAAACTCCATGGTAATATTCTCTTTTTAAAGTGAAAAGAGTTTTGTTGCAAAGAAATTGAGTCGATCCTCACCCATTCTAGGTTTGTGGATTCTGAGTTTGTGAATTCACCTGCTAGCGAACAGTGATTTGTTACCCATCTCAGTACTTGAGCTGCATTTGGTCATTGTATTCAGAGCATGAAAACTGAGTCCCTGAGGCGCACATTCCCAGCTGATGTCTGACAGGCCACATGTAAACGAGGTCCTTCCGGTGAGCGCCATGTTTCTCGCAGTTGTGCATTTTGTTGGCGGTCTCACTGTTTAACGTGGCCCGGGGTGCAGTGCTGAAGTATCCGTATTGCTGAGTGCAGGCAGGCTAGGATGTGCTGGAAGGAGAAAATCGACCGTTTGATAGGCTTCACTTAGGTCTCGGTTACCATGCTCTCAGCCATGAATTCAATAGCATATATAACACAGGGTGTCTTTCGACAAAAAGGCTATGTATTGACCGGTTGACAAAATGTGCCCAGGGGCTTGCAGGAATTTAACCCTGTATTTCCTGTAGGAGCGATGGGTTAGTGTTCACTAACTCAGTGTTTGTGGAGACTTTATAGAACACAATACTGCCGATACCAAGATGCAACCGTACACAGGGAGCTGCCACGGCCAAACAAAGAGAGGGTGTGTGGAGCCAAGGGCTCGCCAGGAAAGGACTGGGCCCTGGGCATGGAGTCTGAGCCAGCAGCAGGGCTGGAGCAGAAGACAGGCCCCTGTTCTGGAGGGACAGGCTGTCGGTTGTGCTTCATGGAGGCGGCAGCCTCACTAGCAATGTCACCACTGTGAATGGCAGACTGACATGACGTGGTCAAACGTCTTATTGCAGCACAACTGACAAAGAATGTGCTCTTCTCTGCAACTCACATTTACGATAACTAGAACTGCAAATGATAATATCAGGACATTGGAGATACTTGGCAATTGTATGTATAATTTCAAAAAGAACATTCATTTTAATAATCTATGCATAAATACCACAGGTAGTTTTTTGACAGTGCTTTCTGCCTCCAGGTAATTTTAACATAGCAAATAGGCCTGATTAGTTTAATTTCCTCTTTTGTAAAGAGAAATTTCTTTGAAGTTTTTCAGAGCCCATTTTAGATAAAAGCATGCACGATTCAGCCCCATATTTCTTTTTTCTTTCTTTTCTTTTTTTTTAATATATTTTATTGATTTTTTACAGAGAGGAAGAGAGAGGGATAGAGAGTTAGAAACATCAATGAGAGAGAATCATCGACCGGCTACCTCTTGCATCACTCCTACTGGGGATGTGTCCACAACCAAGGTACATGCCCTTGACCGGAATCGAACCTGGGACCTTTCAGTCCGCAGGCCAACGCTCTATCCATTGAGCCAAACCGGTTTCGGCTCAGCCCCATATTTCTTATACTTTAGCACTGGTCCAGGTTCCTACAGAGGATTTAGGGGAGGTTTGGGGCTTTTGACTTCCCATAATTTAAAAATTTTGTTTAACCAAGGCCAAGGAATTGCTTTGGGTCTGAAATGTGCTAATTTTGAGTGCCACTCCTAGGGTGGTGGCTCGTCTCTCATGTGACTCAGAGGAGCCTGGGCAACACACAGTATTCAGGAGGCTGGAATACTTGGGTGACCAAGCCCTTGCGTATACTGACAAGCCGGAAATGTTCCTTCTAACCCTAAAACCGGGAGTATGTTTTCTTGTTGGGGACCCTGTGAGACAGCTACATATCTCAGACAATAAGTAGACACTTATGCAAATGTTTCTCATCACCTGGAAACACCCCCAAGGGGCCAGAAGTAGCAATGGTCTCTCTTTTTTGGAGTGAAAAATCACCATCTTATAATTTCAGACCAATAAACTAATGGTGTCAGTCCATCATTAGAACTCAAGCTGTAATTGCATCAAATGGCCACAAGATGTCACTATAAGCTCAGTTAACACCCACCCACCCCCAAGTGAAAGTGAAAAACAAAGACATTGATGAATAACATCATCATTATAATAAAACTGACTTGAGGGTGTCCCTCGTAACTCACCCCTTCCACGTGGTACATATCTAAGATGGCCTCTTACGGATTTTTGTTGAGGCCCAGTAAAGCTATGTACGTCAGCCTCACTGTGTGAGCACCACGCTCATCTCAGAAGAGTCGCATCCTTTTCTGCTGCTTGGAAAGATTGAGTTCCACAACTGACAAGATACGTTAAACAAAAACTTCGTGGCTGAAGACTTTGTTAAAGCAGGTGCTAGCCAGGAAAAGACCAGGCCCTGGGGATGAGGTCTGAACCGCCCGCAGCTACCCACTGACCAACCATCTCCTCCGTCCCTGCTGTCCTGCTGAGACATAATGCAGAGCATCTCAGAACTTTCTGCTTGTCCTCAGAAAACTAGAAAGTGTGGAATAGCGTGAAAAAGAAAATACAGTTCAACTGTGATCTTTCCACATAGTGATAGCTACGGTTAACATAGCTATCACTTATATTTCAAGCCTTGTCCTACTAACATATAAACATGTTTTTAATAAAAAACTAAGATTACACAGACTTTTTTATTAATAAGTATTTTCTCCTGTTATTTATTTTTAAAATATTTTAGCAGCTGTATGCTAAGATTCAGCATAATCTGTTTAATCAAAATGCCAATGCTAGACATTCAGGTGGTTTTGTATTTTATTTTATTTTTTAATATACTTTATCGATTTTTTACAGAGAGGAAGAGAGAGAGATAGAGAGTTAGAAACATAAATGAGAGAAAGTCATAGATCAGCTGCCTCCTGCACAACCCCTATTGGGGATGTGCCTGCAACCAAGGTACATGCCCTTGACCGGAATCGAACCCAACCCTGGACCTTTCAGTTTGCAGGCCGACGCTCTAAACCGGTCTCGGCGGTTTTGTGATTATTTTAGCTTCTCCGTTGTCATTTGTTATCTGTCCTTTCAGCCCAGAGTTAGTCCTCATTACCTACTTCCCAGTGGACACAACTGCATTTAAGAGTGTTATTTCTAACATGGCATGTGGATGTGATTTTGACGTGTTCTTTTTTCGTGTTTTTCTCTTGCAGTACTTACAGTTGTGAAATACCGCACTTGATTTGATGAGAGAGGTCTTCATTAAACAAAATCTGGGACAATAATAATAATAATAGTTTGCTGCATAATTTAAATGAAACCCATGTATATAACTTTCAAAACTTCTTTTCCAAGAAACTGAGAGGCAAGTATCACTTCAAACTGGAGCATTGAGAATGTCCGTTATCTTTTTCCCCTTCTGCTTTTAATAATTATGTTCGAGGCCAAGGCAGCCAGCCTGTTTTGCCGCATCCCAAGGATCTCATTTGAAACAAGATACTTGCCCATTCACTGTTTGTGTCTGTAGTTCAACACTGATAAGAGACTTCCGACTGTTCCTGCAATGGCTTAAGGACTTGCACTCTCGCATTAAGGTGGGGGGTCAGGAAGCCTAAGTTGCCGTTCCATCAATATTCCATCAATGTAAGATTCTTCTCACATTACAGTTGCTTTGCAAGCAATTTCCACGTTTATGGGTGTAACAAAAGCTAAGTGTTGTAAATGCTGCTGCCTTCAGCTGTAACTAAAAACATTCCAGTAAATCTATTTTTGACCGTATACGGGAATGTGTAGTAATTTCTTGGTATTTGAATTATGGAAATGGGAATTTTAAACGGTGTGAAAATAATAGTAATATGGTGCCATAAAACTGGAGATAATAAAAGTATTGGAGAACATCGCTGTAGTTTTTGAAAGTGTCCACCAGCCACCATCACAAGTCATGGTCTAGTCTCCCTCGTCAGCCCCCAGTAAGGAGGGACCAGTCCTAACAGAGTAGGTAAGATCCATGGGGAACTCACACCCTGATTTTATTCTCACTACTCTCCTCTGTAAGCCCCTCTAACCCTTGTACCAGAAGTGCTCATGGAAGCAAAGTCATCTGCCTAGAATTTTCTGTTTTTGCAGCATCTGATCATCCCCTGGGAGATGCATGTTGAACAATCAACTATTAATTCAGCCAACAGTAATGAGCATAAAGTCAGGAGCTGGGTGATCAAATGCCAGGGTCACCGTCACTCTCAGTCTGTTTCCAGAACAATGAGACACGTTAAGTTTATGGAAACATGCCAATGCATAGAGTAAAAATGAATCCTCTGTTGTGTTGAGAAAACTTCATAATGAAGTTGCAGGTTCTACACAAACTTGTGCCCTGCACATTTGACATATGAATGTCACTCTCAATTTGAAATAGGGTTCATAGAAAGGGCAATTGTTTTTAGGGGAGCGTGATTCTGTATAGGTTTTATTTTGGGGGGCCATTTTAATTCAAAAAATGTATGAAACATACAACCCTTTAAAAAAAAAATTCTATAGGATTAGCACTAAGAAGCAAAAATGTTCTGTTTAAAATGGACCGAATTTTGAAGGGAGGAAGTAGATTAAGAGATACTCAGACACCTGCAAGTTATGAAATCCTAAATATAATTGCTAAATTTTAGTTTACTGAGGACAGTTAAAAAAAAAAAAAAAAAGGTCATACATACTATGGAGTGTTGTCGCTGGTGTCTCCACTCTTTGTAAATGCCAATTAATATAAATAATGTAATAAATACGAAATCTTTTGACCAAATAGGACTCCCAGGAAAAGGAACATCTTACAGTTTTTGTAGCATATACAGTTCAGTAGTGGAAATGTTTTAACTGAATGGAGAGTTGTAGTGTGTGTGTACGTCCTTTTTTTTGGGGGGGGGGGGGTGGAACTAGACTGATCACTGGTTACTTTTCCATTAATTGGTGTAAAACTCTGGTTCCTCCATACCTATTAGTGAAGATGAAGGTTATTTCTCAAAAAATCCATATTTCCAGTGTGTTTTTTTTTAATAAAGTATGCTGCTTTTAAAGAAATATAATTTTTTTTTAATTTTAACCATAAAAAAATAAGGGAACTGTTTATGTGACTATATTGTGTGTGTGTGTGTGTGTGTGTGTGTGTGTATAATTAGTTAGTTAGTTAGTTAGTTAGTTAGTTCTCTTTGCATTTAAATATATTCCTGCCAGGAACCCTAGTGGCAGACATGTCCTTGTGAGAGTTTGCACTAGTGCTGGCCTGGCTTAGTTTATCATTTCATGCATGATTTTCCCTTTATATAGACAATTAAATACATGAGTAAGTCCGGTTCAAACTATGAAAAAAAGGAATGTTCATCATCTTTTAAAATTAGCATGCATACATCTCTGTTCCCATGCATGCCCACTGTCCCATTTACCTTACAAAACACAAGCTCAGAGGTAAAGTGTTAAGAATTCCCAGACAGCAAGAGCTGGTAACCAGGTGCAGTGCCCTGAGAACACCATGTGACTGCGCTTGTCAGATGGCCGTGGCACTCACCCTGCCCATTGGCTACTCTCTCTCGGAGAACTCCCATGTCCTCGACATCCCTCTTCCAAGGTGGGGCTCATGCTGAGCTCAGTAGCTCAGGTTGAGAAAGGTCGAGTATAGTGGGATCATTAGCTCATAGAGCACGTTGTTCTGCTTCTGCTAACACCAGTGTCATGTTAGCTTTTTAATGTCAGTGCCTGGTGCTGATCTGACACTCTGCTCATTATAATTCATATCCCTTTTCAAATACCAGACCTTTCTCAGGCCCTAGTAATCCCTGGCTGCATAGTTCCATTTCTCAACCTTACCTTTCCTTCCTAATTGATGAATAGTCTGTGGCTGCATTCAAGTTTGTATTTCCAGACCAAACCTGACATAGAACGAGTGCTTCGTATTTGTTGCACAGATTTAAAAAAATTCATCACTGAAACCGGTTTGGTTCAGTGGATAGAGCATCGGCCTGCGGGCTGAGGGGTCCCAGGTTCGATTCCGGTCAGGGGCATGTACCTTGGTTGCGGGCACATCCCCAGTGTGTGTGTGGGGGGAAGGGGAGTGCAGGAGGCAGCTGATTGATATTTCTCTATCCCTCTCTCTTCCTCTCTGTAGAATATCAATAAAATATATTTAAAATAATAATAATAATAATAGAATAAAAATTTAAAAACTCATCAAGTTCTCTTATCCCCACCTGACTAGTCCTTGGACCACTCGCTCCTGCATGGCGAGAGGAGCACAGGCTCTGTCTTCATCCTCTCCTCACTCCCTTCCCTCCCTTCATTCCTTCCCTTCCCTTCTATCATCTTCGGAGCCATCATCATCATCATCACTAACATGTTTAAGCTCTTAAAGTCAGGCACAGTCAGGATGTACTATATGCATCTCCGGGTCACAAACACTCTACCTTCCAGGATATCAATTAAACAAGTAAGCCTATCTATTCCTACTGAAATTAGAAGGTGAATCTTAAGTGGTTAATCTTAACACTATGAGAAGAAACCAGTGGTGTACAACTGGGGTGATTTTGCATCCCCCCCCCATGACAATTGTCAATAAGTGGAGACATCTTTGGTTGCCATAGCTTGAGGGGGTGGGGAATGCTATTGGTATCTAATTGGGGGAGGTCAGGCAAGCCACTACCTTACGTGTGCTAGAATACACAAAACAGGGCCCGCCCACCCACCCCCCACCCCCCACCCCCACATACACACCCCCCTCAGGGCTCAAAATGTCAAGTGCTGAGGTTGATAAATTCGTCTTTTATAGGGTTTGAAAATGATGCACCATTAAGAAGAACTTTCTCACTCTTTTGCATCATATTATATACAATTTTTAAAACATTAATTTTTGCACCTTCCTGCCATCATCAGAACTATGCTTGAAAGCATTTAAAACAAGTCTTGAGTACTTTATATCATCATAAAATGAAGAATGAAGAAGTACATTTTTTTAGCATTCTAAAAAAGTAGAATTTTTTTAGTGGGGGGAAAAAAGTATTACCAGGTCAGTGAACAATGGCTTCTTTTATAAGAAAACTGGAAAAATAGCATTGTTTTGCAACTTTTCCCCCTCTCCCCTTCCATGTTGCTGGCAAGCACCGAACTGAACCTATTTACTCTCCTTTAAGGGGAAACTTATTTCTCATCCTACTTTTCTTGAGTCAAGGGGCTTCTTCAGCATTGTGAAGGCAGATTTAAAAGAAATGTCTTGAAACCCCCCTATTTCAAACAGATATCAACCAACCACGAAGCCAAACCTTTTCTTCCATTTCTGGGACTTACCCTCATTCTCTCCACATTTCATCCTATGGAACATTTTTCCTGATCTGCATCTTAAATCGTGGCATTTTTTTTCCTGGCTTTTCTATAAAGCTTATGTTTTCCCCAAACGTTTACACAACCCTGCTCTCTCCCAAAAAGTTTATTGCCTTTTAAAACTGGTCTCTATACACATAGCCCAATTCCCGCTTCCTGATGGCTCTCGCCCTTGAGTTTCCTCCAGGTCCACAGCCAGCTCTGGGTTTGGCCAAGTTGGCTTTGCCTTCGTTCTCTGCGCCTAGAATTGCCAGGAGAAACACAGCGCCAGGAACAAAAGCCAGGCATTTCAAACTCCTTAGCTATTTTCAAAATCCATATTCCTTTTAGTGAAGAACTCCTCTTCCTCTCCCTTCACCCCTATTTCCAAACTAAATCAGCTTTCAAGACAAGGCCCACTCTAGAGCCTCAACGTGATGTTTACCTTAGAAACTTGGCCAGCAGTGTTCGAATTTGGAACAGCATGCCCTACATAAGTGGGGTGGGAGACGGGGTTAGGGGGAGAGGAAAAAATTAGCTTTCCCAGAAGCATGCCGCTAAGATTTCTTACTAATCTACTTTTAAAATGTGGAATGGTCTCTTCCTTATTTTATTACAGGAAAGACTAGTTGAAGGTCACTGTTGTCTGAGGACTTCCACAAGCAGCCCCGCCCAGTGTTTGTGCACAGGCTGCCCGAGCCTGCGGCTTGCCCTCTGTCCGCTTGCTAGGATGCGTGTTATTTCTGAAAGGCGATTGTAATCAGATGCCTGTTGTACTCTATTAACTGGAAGTACAAGTCCGCTCTAAAGAGACTGATCGTTTCCTCCTTGGCATTCTGCTCGTGACTGTAGTTGCTATTTCCAAGTAAATATTGGATCCTTGGATTTGGCCATGACCCCCCAATTCCTCCC